AATGAACTCTAAAACTGTCTATTAATGACAAAATCTTTTTTTTTATTCTCCTTAAAATTTACTGAATATCCATGGTGCATTAACGGAAACAAAGGCATAATAGTTCAATAACAAAATCAGCAGAAAGCTGTATCCCATTCTGATAGAATAAAAAACTGAAGTCAGCCTTTGTTTTCACTCTTCAGAAAAAAAGAGAGAAAAGGGAATTACACAAGGCCCTTTCCATGAAACATTTAGTAACTTGGGACAAAGAACTGCGCACTTACGTAACCACAACAGTAATTCTACAAAGGAGAGCCCCATTCAAAGTGTGCTTTAATCACGTGGCATAACAACTCGACTTTCATTCACAACTTCATTCTTTACAGTATTGCACTTTAGTGTCGGCGTGTATTGCACATACGCCACAAAAGTGTTTTTTTTTTAGATATGGAAGATTAGAAACACTTATTTTAAAGGAAAAATTAAAAGGGCCGAGCAAAGGTACTGGGGAACTTTCTCTTAACATTTTTACATAAGCGTTGCATAACAGAAAACCGCCCGAAGCGGTCAAAGTTGCTAACTTCGCGTCGCCCAGGAAGGGCAATGAAACTATTCCATAAGAGGCGAAGGAAGGCGTGTGAAATCTGTCAGGACCGAGAAAAAGCTGCTTTAATTACAGCTCTGAAGTAACTTTTCCAGGCTGTCCCCAACTCCCCACCCGCCCCCACTGCTTATCCTACTCCTGCTCGAGATCTGACTGTCTTTACCGTCTCGCTGCTCACAAGTTTTCAGACCCGGGGAAGAGGAGGAAGCGGCGGCGGCGGCAGGTGGACCCTCTTCCTTGACTTTCTTGCAGGACCGCTGCACCTTCGAGACCCCTTTACGTTTCCCGACCATCCCGGCCGCTATTTCGCGAAAGAAAACAGCCCGATCAGCCAACCCCAGGAGCGGCGGAGCCACGAAGGAGAACAGCGACTAGGGAGGCAGAAGCCCGGCGGCCTCCCGAAGATGCCAAAGAAGAGCGAAGCGTCTCTTTCGGACTTAGCGCAGGGCGGCTGGGTGGCCGGGCTGTCGCTCCGCAGCAGCAGCCCTTATAACCGTCCTCCGTTACTCCGGCTTCTCGCAGGAGACAAGCCAGACAGAGCCACGCCGGGCGCTCCGGGCTTTCCGCGGCACCTCCTCCCTGACGTCCCTTCCGTGCCGGCGGCTCCGGAGAACCTGCGCTGCAGCGGACCGGGGGCTCTGGCGGGGACGCTTGCCCTTGTGAACCACTGGACTACTCCGGATCGAGCTGACTGCGCTTCGCATCCCTCCGTTGCATCGGAGGAAGACCCCGCAACTTATTTCTCGGCTCCCTGGAAGCTTCCAAGAAGAAGCGTAAAAGCGCTCAAGCTTCACGCCCGATCTATGAATATTCATTCACACGGGCGGTTTTGAATCGGTTCAAAGGGAGATGCATTAAAGAACAGGAGAAAAACCGGAAACAGAGATGATGGCTTGTTTGTGTGTGAATTCAGCCTATGAATCTAATCCAATGTTTCTCAACCTGGGCGATGTTAAGATGGAGTAGGAGTTGAAGTCCACACATCTTAAAATTTGCCCAGGTTGAAAAAGAATGGTCCAGTCTACCAAGCAATTTTTTTTAAAAAAAATGCAGTATTATAAAGGCAAAAGAGCGGCGATTTCGATGAACTAACCCGGAAGCTAGACGTTACACGAACATCTATATCTCGTCTATATTTATGTACTCCGCTAGACGTTCGGTAGCCGTATCGGAATTGATATAAACTCTCGCGAGAAGTAAGTGGTCTGCCTTTGAAAAAAATGGCGGACGAAGTAGATCAGGTGGGTGAAACGACGGGCATGGCGGTTTGTCGGCCGCTGAATCTTCTAGGGATTTGGCCCTGTTGCGGTGGAAAGTGTGGCAAGCCTGGGGGATGGTTAACCAGAGCTTCAGTTTTGAGTTTTGAGTTTCGCAAAATCCTGGGAACGAAGGCGTCCGTGTTTCATTCAGCGACCTGCCTCTTGCGGTTTATTTAATCGATTTATATGGTCGCTCATCTCTGATACTGTACACGACTCTTACTGAAAGCTGCTTTTGGCTTCCTTTTTCAAAGCCTTAGCAGATGCAAACATATTAAAGTTTTGCAGTGGGTGAAATGCTATTTCATGGTTTCTGATCAAATGCCTTAAATCGGGGGGTCTTCAAACTTGGCCCTTTTATGACTTGTGGACTTCAACTCCCAGAATTCCTCAGCCAGCGTGCCTGGCTGAGGAATTCTGGGAGTTGAAGTCCACAAGTCATAAAAGGGCCAAGTTTGAAGACGCCTGCCTTAAATCGATGTTTCTCAAAATGTGGCATCCCAGAGGCCCGCAAAATCCAAATGATTTGGTAGTCGGCTTGAAAAATGATACAGTATTAAAATCCTAGCGGGCTATAGTGAGAAGTCGATAAAGATTCACAGTCATCCAGGTAGAGTTGTCTCGAAGTTAAGTCTGGGCAACTGGACTACTTCTCTTTTTGGTTTGAAACGTTCGCTGCTTATTCAAGTGTCCGTTTTAATTTTTGATGTGAATATTGATAAATATAACCTATAAGAACAATTTGGGGTTCACTATATTTTTTTAAAGTAGCAAGGGATCCTGAGGGAAAAAAACGTTTAAGAAATGCTGCCTTAAATCGTTCTCCATTACTATATTGGTCCTTAAACCTTGAGCTACACCTGGATTAAACCCAAGAGGCACCTTTTTCTGAAGTGTGTTGCTGTGATCTGAGTGTACAAATTTGTGTGGCTGCTGCATGGCTTTTGTGTGTAAAAATAATATGTTCTAATTTAATTGTACTTGTTGAAGAGTAGCAAGTTACTATACAGTATATATGCTCTCTATAAGTAGGAAAGCTCAGGCTGTATTTTATCTATAAAATCTCAATTGTATGGGCATTTCTTGATATATAACTTTTTAATTATAAAGTTATTGCAGTTAGTGACCTTCATTTGAAAATAAGTCATTATGAACTTGGAATATAAAACAGTAAAATAGCATATGACCACATAGTCTTTCTGTTTGGGATTGACAAGTATTATGGTCAAAGAAAAATTTAAATATATGTAATTTGAATAACACTGACTCAAAGTGTGTCAGCAAAATACAGACATTATTATGTCCTTTGATAAAATAGACTGGCTCTTTCTAGTGAAATATACATCCAGTCTTTTGTTTAATAAAGAGGTGGGGGTTTTTCTAACTTTTAAAAAGCAAATATTAATATACCAAATAAAATAATTACTAATGGGGGCTAAGTTGAGAGAAGAAGCAGTATACATTTTCTCTAATTTTACTTGCATTTTCCTGTTGATCCAGTCAGCACAAGTGAACTCTTGTCCCTCTGAAAGCTGATGAAAATTCACCATATTAGATTATGTTACAAACTATTACTTAATTTCCTCCCATTTGATTTCAGTAAACATTAATTGTCATCTGATTAGGGTTTTTTGAGAGGAAAGGAAAATTATCAGTAGCCAACATTTACCACTTATCTATATACAGCCTGCTTTTATTTTTATAAATAATTCAAGGTAACAAACATATCTAATATTCCCTCCTCCTATTTTCCCACAACAACAACCTTGTGAGATGGGTTGGGCTGAGAGAGAGTGATCTGTCCAAAATCATGCAGCTGGCTTTGATGCCTAAGGTGGAACTACCGGTAGATCTCATGGTCTCCTTGTTCTTAGCCTGGTGCCTTAACTACTAGACAAAATTGTCTCATGTTTCTTTGCTAAAATATGTCTCTAAATTGTTACATTTTGCAGCAACAAACCACCAACACTGTAGAAGAACCTTTGGATCTCATCAGGCTTAGTCTTGATGAACGGATTTATGTAAAAATGAGGAATGACCGAGAACTTCGAGGCAGGTTACATGTAAGTAAAATTACATAGAAGTGGGGAGGAGGGGCTGAAATTTTAAAGTACAATTCCTTTTAGCTTGAGGACTGCAAGAGGCTATTGAGAACCACACTCCAACCATAGGTACCGGTATAACTAGGGCCCATTTGCAAATGGTTATAAAGGGGTGAAAAGGTCACCTTTTTTCTGCAGTTTTATACTTCTGGTTTAAAGGTAATTTTTTTCTTAAAGTAAAGCAAATTATGAACAATGCTTATTTAGTAATAGATAATTGTGGAGAAAAAAAGTTAAGTTATAATTTATTATCAAATTTATACGCCACCCATCTCACTGTAAAGTTAGTTTGTCATGCAAGCAAAAATAGAGTCAGTTGATCAAAATAATGATGGCTTGTTTATCCTATTCCTGATTTCTATTTTCTTTTCTAAATATTTATTTCTGTTCTGTTCTATCTCTGGATTGGTTGGAGCTTTGATATGAGCACAAACAAGTTAAAAACATATACAGATCTTGAATCTCCATTTTTAAAATCACAGCTTTACACCACAATTGCAATTAATTAGCAAAACAAATAGAGGTTCAATGTATGGCCCACATGTAGAATTATAATCCAGAAAAGGTTTCCAAATTGAAATTCTGTGTCAGACTTGTTTTTAAATTGACTTGGATGCATACTCCCATAACTTAATTTGCCATCTTTTAAAGGAAATTACGTATGATTTCCAATAAAGGCACAAAGAGTCCTGACAGCTATTATCCTGTAAGAGCTACCTTAAAATAGATTTAAAAATCGAATGTTTGATAAAATATATTGAACAAAAAAATAGCTGGCAGGAAAGAAAATTCAGGTTTTAATATTTGTTTCATTCTATAATCATTTTCCAGATTATTGGGTTTTTTACACCATTGCCACCAATATATAAGAATAATTCAGCCTGATTATAGCATTTCCAGCAATTATGCATGGAATATAACTATAGAAATCAAATTTGCATAATAAAAGAGTTAGGTTCAGCAAACTAGAAAATTCAAACAAATTACTATATGTTAAAGCTGGAATTTTTATTTCTTTTTAATTTGTGCCACATAAATGATGCCACCAGAACAATATTTATGAACTTTTTTTCACTTTCAAAGGCATATGACCAGCATTTAAATATGATTTTGGGTGATGTTGAAGAGACTGTGACCACAATAGAAATTGATGAAGAAACTTACGAAGAAATTTATAAGGTGAGAATTTCTAATATCACTGATAATGATGTTTAATGCTTTAAATATTAGGACAAAGGGCATAAATTTATGATGTTACACTTTACTAATCAGATCATTGTATAATACAATTCAGTTCAGAACAATGTTGGATGAAAAATTAAATATATCTAGTATTCGTTGTGCAAATAAATTTTAATTGAATAATCTTGTTTCCAAATATATGAATTGTATTTAGTTCTGCCTTTATTTTTTATTTTTTTAATAAATAAGGTGACAAACACACACAATATTCCTTCCTCCTATTTTCCCCACAACAAGAACCCTGTGAGGTGAGTTGGGTTGGTAGTGACTTGACTAAAGTCACCCATTCAGCTTTCATGCCTGGACTAGAACTCTCAGTCTCTTGCTGTGAGGCTTCTTGCTTGATGTTTTAACATTAGACCACCTTAAATAGAACTAGTTCTACTGAGAAAAGAAGAGAAGTTTGGTATTCTTGAATGTAGTCTAAGCCTTGTTGCTTTTTCTTTCCACAGTCTACCAAGAGGAATATTCCAATGCTGTTTGTCAGAGGAGATGGAGTTGTATTGGTTGCTCCTCCACTGCGTGTTGGCTGACACTGCAGGTTGCTCCTTCACTGGGTTATTGGACTTCCAAGACATTAACTCTCGCTCCCTTTAAATATTAGGACTATCCCATATTTTACAGGAGAATTCCCAATCCTGATTATGTATTCCAAATGTTTACGTTTATTTGGCAAATAAGACTTCTTTTTTTTTTCCTCTTGGGGCATTTAAATCGATTTCATCAAATCAGTGGATTTTCTTGTTTAGTTAATACCTGTGTTCCTTATGTACATTTTTAAATAAATCAGTTCACTAATTTTGTACATGTGTATGAATAGTCTTCATGCTTGTTACAGTTCAATGTAGTGCATACGCATCAATATTTTTGTCTGCTTGAGTAAATGCTACTCTACTATTAGTTGAAATGCATAGATTAAAAACTCTGGGGAAAAATCATAAATGTCATCACATTTGATTTATATTTAAATGGAAGATAGCCACAAAAGGCTAATTCGGTAATACTCTTGAGTTAAGAAAGGGAACATTTTATCCAGAGTACTAAGGAATTTTCCAGCCCATTCAATATTCATATGAATGAAATATTTGTATGTGTTTGTGTCTATTGTTAATGAAATTATGGAAAGAAGTATTGTTAGTAAAATTGCAGCATTGTTAATAAAGAAGTAGAAAATAAAATTGACATTAGGAAAGTCTTCTCCAAATGAAGAAAAATTAAAATTGCACAAAAGAAATATGAAATAAAAAATAGGGAGCATGTTTTTAGTATCGCCTGTTCACCGCCCTGAGTCCCGCAAGGGAGATAGGGCGGTATATAAATTTAATAAATAAATAAATAAATAAAGAATACAAAATACATAAATGAAATTGGCTAAAATGCCACGTAGTGATTCAGAAAACTCAGAAAAAAGCAAGAGGATGAGAATGTAGAAAAGCTGAATGAGCCATTTGTGTCTTTTTTCATTGCACATAATGGAGGAAAAGTACGAATGCTTTGAACAGATTTTGTTTTCAAGGAAGTGGAATTTGAAAAACTAAATTGAATAATAGTGGCAAAAGATTAAATTTATGATCATATTACATACAGATGTGCAAATTATTCCTCTGCACCAAGCCAGTCCTGGCACTTAGATTGTCAGCAGTTTTCTGGAAAGTAATAAATACTGTATAACCTATATGCAATTTGCAGTGTTCAGGTCATAGGGCTCACCCTAAAGCTGCTGTATATAATAAAAATAGAACATCTTTCCAACCTATATGAAATGTATTTAATATCAATGTCTAGAAAAGGATTCATGGAAATCCAGAGAACAATACAGCAATTTAATGTTCTCTGTACTAACTGGATATTTGCTTGTTTAATTGGTTTTTTTTATCAATTTAAATGATCAGGTATTGAGAAGTATCTTGCAAGAATATAAATTGATAAATACAACATCTTGCTAAGTTCCCAAATTTTTGAGAATCCAAATGATACGGTATTAGTTAACATTAATTACTTCCAATTTCAAATATGTTTTGAAAATTTAGCAGTCATATCAAAAGTCATCTTAAAGATCGATAAGTAGTTAACAGAAAATTGTAGGAATAAATGTTAAGGTTTTGAAGTGTATCAGTGCCATTTCCACAAATATGCAAAACTCACTAATTCAGGAACAATGTTCTGGAGATGTTTGGTTCCCTTATTGTAGGGGTGTCAAACTCGCAACGTCACGTGACGTGTTGCGACGTATCGTGACTTTTTTTCCATTGCTAGCAATGGGGTGGGCGCGATTTCGGCATGACGCGTCTGGCCCACGGGCCGGCAGTTTAACACCCCTTCCTTATTGAATCATGCTGTTCCAGAAATCCTCCGAAGCAGTTCAGGGAATCCTGAATGAAATAAGGCTGGTTTTGGGCCAGAAATGTCAAATCACTTCTAATTCAGTGGATTTACTATCAGAAATTGCCCAACTGCCCCCAGAATGGCATGGATGGTTGGGCAACGGACGAAGATAACATGGTCCAGATGGAGTATTAAATGATTCTGGATTGGTGAGCTTTGCACATTTATAACAATTTATGTGGGGATTGGTTCCTTTAAATTTCTTCATAACATATTTGGCCTCAACATTGAGATGTCACCATCTGCTAAATGAAGTCAACTTGCTTAAGATGATTGAAGAAAATGGTTAGTAAAGATTTCCACAATAACATATCCAAATCAGAGAGGAGAATTACTTCAGTAATGTGGTTTAGTACATACAAGTGTATAGTGAAATACATTTGTGCAGTTGCTAGCTGCAAATAGCTGACAGTAGCTAACCAAAGGAAAACTGCTGAAAAGGCATAAAAATCAGTTCTGAGTGTATGTTTTATAGGTAGGCCAGAAACCTCTATTACCATTATTTAATTCATGAAATTGATAGCTGTGTGTTGTTTTTCTCTAAACTGGAGTATATACAGTATAGAATGAGCTGTGGTGGGCTTGAGTGGAAGTCCTTGGCCCACCACAGACAACAGCTGTTGCTATAATAATAATAATATTATTATAGGCTAGTGAATGGAACAGACAGCTTACTGAACATGGCCTGATAGGACTCAAAGTCCTCTCAAAACTGCAAACCTGACCCTGATCAGCACATTTTTTTTTCATTAACACTTGGTAAACCCATGGATCAGAGGAATTGTGGCTCTCAAACCAGGAACTATTTCTATGGGAAACAAATTCAATTGATACTAATTATTGATAAGGTCTATAAAATCCTTATATCACAATCCTAATGCCTCATTGGTTGGTTGCTTTAAACAACATATTTGATTCCTATGATTTTAAAACAAGGTACTATAATAAAAATCAAAGGTGTTTCACAAATTCTGGATACCTCAGACAATGTTTAATCAGTGCTGGTTACTTTTGCCTTGCTTTTGAAGATACAGTACAACACAAGAGTTGGAACATTAACTCTGGGTTGGACTCAAATCAATACTGCAAAACTGTTGGTGTAACTTTTATTGGTCATTGCCTTAAAGATGCATATGTTATTCTTGGCTATATACTTATACCCACCCAGCAAAGGACAACTTCCTTCTGCCCTCCCCGATGGACTCCATTTTCTCACTGCTTTTTATGAACAGAATATACCTAAAATATAGGTATATTCTGATATGTATATATAGATAGATATCTACAGTACATTTACACTATGTATAGTACAAATGATAAATGTAAGCAATATGTTAGATATATCTAAGCAATATCTAACACATTTCCATCTGAAATAATTAAAATGGTCTATATGCTAAAAGAAAGCAAAATAATAAAGCTAGATATAAGAGGAAGATTAAAGCAAAAAAGCAGTCCGATGTAGTAGAATAAGCAATGCTTGTGTGTTGAAAGTGAAATGACTTATTTTTTTAAAAAATATATGTAAAAACACATAACCGCCCATTTTACAACAACTCTCGGCAGCTTGCTACCAATATTATTAACGGTATAAAACCAGCAACAATAAAACTAAAATCAGAAAAGCCTGGAGCTATACCCACAGTTTTTCTAATACTAATTCCACAGTCTCATCTCACCCTGGCCTCTCCCTATCCCAATTCCTGGAGAAAGAGCCAGTTCTGAAGTGCTCTTCCAAAATATAGATGGGCAGGAGCCTGCTAGATATCAGGAGGGAGGGTGTTCCTTAGGGGCTACAATAGAAAAGGCACACTTCCAAGGACCTACAACCGTGGTGGCGAACCTATGGCACGCGTGCCACAGGCGGCACGTGGAGCTGTCTCTGGTGGCACGCGAGCCATTGCTGGGCCGAGCTGCTCCCCCCTCTTCTCCGTGCATGCGCAGTCTGGGAATAGGTGAGAGGCTATAAAAGGAGCAACTTTCTGCAGAAGCAGCATTCAGCTGAAGACAACTTGAGGGCGAGCACAAGTTGGAGCGGAGAGCGAACGAGCGAACGAGCACGAGCTGACAGCTCGATGGCCACGCCCACTCAGTGGCCATGCCCACACGGCACACGGCGATGCATAAGTGGGTTTTGCGTTGCAGTTTGGACACGGTCTCTAAAAGGTTCGCCACCACTGACCTACAAGATGTCAAAGGGAAGGAACATAGAGTATGTCCATCTTATCTACTCTGATGGGATGGATAGCTGGATATGTAACGGATTCATAAGTGAAAACTGGCTTCCTGTAAGTTCAGATCATTATATTTTAAGCTCTGGGCGCTTTCACAAAACAGTATCAAATTTATTTAACTTTCTTAGTTTCTCATTGTAAAATTTAGTTTGTTGTCTCCTGGTCATCTTTGTTGCCTTTCTTTGTACAGCAACATTCCAGTTTCCTTCAAGTTGCTTTAAAACATGGTGCCTAAAACTGAGCACAGCACCTGAGAGCAAGTCATTGTGGAATTATCTTTTTGCAGAAACTCCTACCGATGCATCTCTAGCCCTGCTACTTGTACATGGATTTTGTACTGAAAGGCAGGTGCATATGGGGATCAAGTAGTGAAGGGGACCAGTGTGAGTAGCCTTCATCAGGCTTCTTACAATCCTCACATTAAATGTCTGAGTCAAAACTGTGTGATGGTTAATAATTCTTCTTGTTTTAGTATATTGGGATGGAATGACAGAATGATCTAGAATGTAATATAATGTCCTGTTTGCGGATGATCCAGTTAAACTTTCCATGAAAGCTGATTTCTCCAAACCATCCTATTTGCCTTGTTACTATCTAGAATTCAAGAGGAATTCACTTCCTCTTAACATCCCCTTGCCTGAACACCAGATGGTGCTGCTTGCTTTGCTCACAGCAGATGTGCACACTGCTTGATGGTTATCATAAGGTAACACATTGGCTAAATATTTTCATTTTATTTAATAATTAAGAACCAGTTTGGGCTGCTGGTTAAGGCACCAAGCTAGAAACTAGGAGATTGTGAGTTCTAGTCTCTCCGCAGGTATGAAAGGTTGTCTTAGCAAATTTTGCTGCACCTCAGGTCTTAGGAGTTTGTCCTGCTCTCCAATGAATTATCATAATAGATTTCTCAAAGCAAATTGCTACATTGTTCCATGACTTTTCCTCTTTATGCTTTTCATTTGGCACTGTTTTTGCCCGTTGTTGCAAGAAACTCCTCTCCATGCTGCTAAAGCCCAGGATTTGGACTTGCTCCTTCCTAGACTAAATTGGTATTCCATAGAAGGCAGTCCTATTGCAGTGTTCCCTGCTGAATTGCCCTGTGGGGATAGGTTAAGCTGCTGCTATTTGTATAATGTAGCAGAACAGATCATGAATTCCCATTTCAAAGACCAGAACTGTCTTAT